AGCAGATTAATCAAATATTGCGCTCGTTTCTTCATTCTCCAGTTACCACATTGGGAGGGACTAGTAGGAATCCATATTGCGACCGTCGAGTTGTAACGACCTGCCGAAAGCAGGGCGGACGACAAACTGGAAAAAGATAGCAGGAGTCTCATAGCCGAGAACTGCCAAGGTAGTTGTCTACTTCTCCAATACTTTATGAAATCATCATGCACATAACCTAAACTTCTACTAGCCGAAAACAAGCTCATTTAATTTCGATTATTAAATAAATCTTTGAGGTTGTTACACAGAGTTAAAGTAAATTGTGTACTTAGGTTTCAAGTGTCTTTTTTTGCATATTAGTTCTAACTTCAGCTAACAATATATTTAAAATCAACTTGATGGGGCTTTTGAGTAATGCAAGGAGAGGAGGAGACCAGTCGCAGGGGTTAACTGAGCACCTGGATTATTATCACCGTGGGTTTATCCAGATATCTATCTATCCCTTCTCCTTCTCCTGTGGATACAAGTACAGCAACTTTCATTTCATGGAACGAGCCACTCGCTGTTTTCTTGGCTATCCAGGACTGTCTAGGATCAACATAGCTTAGATAATAGTCCAGTTTCTCACGTGGGTGGGCATTGTTAAGGATCAAACCCACACCCTCACTATATCAGTGTATTTACCCACGTGGGCGCGCGACAATCATTTAAACGTCACACGAGGCTTGCTGTCTTTACCTTCACTCTGTTATGCCCTGTGCAGTCTTTCCGATATCATGGATGGAATCTTGTCGATTCAAACGAATGGCCATCTTTAAACGGTCGTATGACGTCACTGTGCTCATCTGCTCCAGATGTCACATTCGTAACACTCTTGATCTCCTTAACAACAATATTGACAGGGTACGAGATAATGGTAGGGTTACTGCAATTTCTGTCACATTTTTATTTGAAAATTACTTTTACATTACTACAGCTGGGTAAAGTTTTTGCTCATTTGGAATTGAAAATGTATATCACAAACAACAAGCAGCCATTAGAGCAGCTGGTAAAACATTGGATTGGCTCGAGGTGCAAAAGAGAATGAGGCAGGGCTGCATTCTCTCACCATACCTATTCAATATATGTGTAGAAAAGATAATGAGAAATATGACAAATGACCAAACTTGTGACAGTTATGAACCGCTCATAATTGGTGGCAACCCTATTCCAGAACTTCGTTATGCAAATGAAACAGTCGTACTTTCGAACAATGTAACGGGAATAGAACATTTCACCATGTCTGTCCAAAATCACAATGAAAATCAAAGCTTATTCTTGACTTAAAAGAAAATGAAAATAATGTACACGGACAAAACTAGCTTGCCCCCAAAAGTAACAATAAATAATGAAGATGTTGAAACGCATAGTCCTAGGAACGAGGGGTAGGCCAACTAACACAACGGTGGGTTCTTGGTGTGAGTGAGTTCTTAAATATGAAAGAGCATGAGTTGGTAGAGCTGGCAGATGATGATGGGCCCAGCTCTGTCTGTGTTCTAATACGTTTTATGTGATAGCCACCGATGCATAGCAAATTTACTCTTCATCTCATTTCAGAAACTCGAAGATCTTGGACAACAATCTGAAGTTCGTGTCGGGGTGATTGAGGGAGGTGCTACCGAACAGTTCTTGTTGACAAACAGGGTAAGGCATGAAAGATTGGGAAAATCCAATTATTACACATCTCGTTTCGCTTTCAATTAAGTACGGTGTAATGACCCAGATTTTACCTTACTGGTGTACGTTTGAAGTTTGAACAACGGATCAACATCATGGCACACGAGTCTGAGTCCGAAGAAGCTCAGCACAGTGCACAGGCTCAGTAGCACCGGCGAAGATCCTGAAATACTTTGGGTAGATTTTTAACTCCAAATTTAGCCCGGGATTTTTTACGTGCACAACAATGCACACGGGCGTCCGATTTACTAACCAGAGACCAGGGAGAATTTATTAGGTCAAAGTCCACGTGAAAAAATCCCAGCTTTTGCTGGGGATTGAGCCCGGAACCTCAAGCACTCGGGGTTGCCACCTTGCCTCTAGACTACGCCGCCCCTCGTTTAAGTTTTAACGTAGTAAAATGAATATCTACTTAACATAACCTATGTTCAAAAATGCAGGGCTTACAAAGACTTACTCCAGAAAAGACAATCAGGAGGTTAGCATGCCTTTTGTAGAAAACGAGAAAAAGAGAGCTATTATAGAGTTATTAATGCGAATTCAACTCATAATTAGAAGCGTGACAGAATCGAACATCATTCTGTGTTTGGCACTGGAAAGAATGGCATTGAAGAGGGAATGTTAGTAAATCTAAAGAGTGAGTCTGCACAAGTAGCCTGCAACGGCCACGAATATCTGGCCATTTGTAAGTGTCAAGGTGGTTGTCACGTGATGTCTGCCAGCTGTTTCGACTTAATATTGCTACGTTAAACTTATATAATAAAATAATAAAGCAAAATGTATTGATCGGCATTCATAGAAAGAAGTAGAAAGATAGAAGAACACACAGGGCAACATAAAAAATAAAAGCTATCTAACCTGTCACCTCCTCCCAAACAAAAAGATGTCTTATTGGCCATGTCTATCGTACAGCTTGAAATCCACAACTATGGAATACAGACAGAATTGAGCGTGCCAGCGATTGTCTACGAACCTAGTATGCACGAAGAATGGTATTTAGTGACAAGTAACTCCCCGGTGACAACCTAAACAAGCGATTAGTGACAGCGACAGATAACGCAGCCAGGAACAAATATGAAACCTGTTTTATACCAAGCCTTGTGTTGAAGCGGGAGTCCCCGTGGTCTAGTGGCTAGACGCCCGCCTGCGGATCAGAAGGTCGTGGGTTCGTGTCCTGACGGGGACCGGACTTTTTCATAAATGAATTTGACTTCCAGGTCTACCCAGCTTTGAGTGGGTACCAGTTACAATCCTGGGAAGTAAAGGCGGCCGACGTGATATTGACCTCATCACCCACCAAGTGCCGTTTGGTCTATAAAATATAGTTCTAGCCCTATATACCCAATTCGCCTGAAAGGCGTGGAAAAGGGTCCTTTACTTTACCTGTGTTCAAGACGGTCTACTGCCAACTTCTGCGTGGAATTTATCACTTACTGTGTACTGGGACAATCTTTGTCCCAGTCTTCTACAGTGTTACCTGGCCAGTCTTAAGAAGTACATTGCAACCGAACAGCTCTTGTTGAACTTCTCATTGACTATACATATTGAAAAAGCCCTGTTTTCCAACGTAATGCAGAACAAGAACGTGATAGTTTTCTCACGTAATACACAACAAGAATGTGATAGTTTTCTCACGTAATACAGAACAAGAATGTGATACTTTTTCAACGTAATGCAGAACAAAAATGTGATAGTTTTCCAACGTAATGCAGAACAAGAATGTGAAAGTTTTCCAACGTAATACAGATCAAGAATGTGAAAGTTTTCCAACGTTATACAGATTAAGAATGTGATAGTTTTCCAGCGTAATGCAACGCAAGAATTTGATTGCTTTCCATTCTGACACAAAGTTGCCTGCCTGTTAACAGTTTTCCGCAACCTTTCCCACGAGGTACTAAGAACAACTTACTATTTTCCATTTGCTTTCCCTTTCCCATCTGTTGAGAGGAAAATAGGATATTTTTTCCTTACAAGGAAAAGTTGTATAGGTTTTCCCTTACCTTCCTCGCTTTTAACAAGCCAAAGCATTTATCTACTCCCCAGATTCCACAAATAAAACATGTCTGGGCCAGGATTAAACAGATGAAGGGCTATGTCTCAACTTTGGACAAGGCCATTGACAAAGTTCGAAAGTCAAAGAAGCCTTACGCCTTCATCGCCGAGTCGGCCATGGCTAAGTACTTTACCAAGCATGGGCCGTGTGATATCTACATGGTCGGTGATTTTACCACTATAGGTAAGGGAAAACAGGACGAGATCCACAAATCTCCACTCATTTTGTTACTGTAGGAAAGATCAGTGGATTTTCCCCCTTACTGTTGTTGTTATAGCCTTTCTTCTTCATCTTTTTCTTCTTGTTCTTGTTCTTCTTTTTCTTCTCCATTTTCTTCTTCTTCATCTTCTTCTTGATCATCATCATCATCGCCACCTTTTCTTCTCTTTATCATCATTCTCCCCCTCCTTCTCCTTATTATTATTATTATTATTATTATTATTATTATTATTATTATTATTATTATTATTATCTTCTCCCCCTCCCCTTCCCCCTAGTTATCCCAGCGAAGTGTTTGAGATTAAGATTGGGGGAGGGAGGGGGTAAGAATAAAATGGTATTTATAACCTCAGACATTCAATCTAGCAGCGTCCGTGGCTTAGGCGTTGCGAGTCCGACTCGTAATTCCAACGTACCGCGATCGAAACCCACTGCTGGCTGCATTGATTTTTATAATGGTGTGGGGCGTCGTAGGTCGACCCAGCCTAAAATGGGTACCAGGATGGCTGTCCTGAGGAAGTAAAGACGGCCGGCGTAATGCTGACCACATTACCCATCAGTGCCGATTGGTCTGTAAAAATATGGGGCGCTCTTCCCATATGCCCGATGCACCTAAGGCGTGAAAAGGGATCTTTACTTTACCTTTTTTTTTTACATTCCATCTATCCATCGCTTTTGTGGTCAACCTCTAGTTTTTCTTGAGTTATGTATTAAGGTTTTCCATTGTGCACTGTCTAGTGGTAGTCTTGGCATATGTCCGAATCATTTTATCTGCTGTTTATGGGTGTAGTTTAGTACTGGCTTTTGTTACTGTCAGTAGTCACAGTTATCTGTTTTAATCCCACCCATCAGTTAACTAGAAGTCGCCTGCGGATCATAAGGTCGTTGGTTCAAATCCGTGTGGCGCTGGATTTCACAAAAAGTATGAGCTTGGCTGTCGGGTTGACACCGGTTTCACTGGGTACCAGGTAAATTACTGGGAAGTTAAAGGCGACTGACGGGATATTGACCACACCACTTATTGAAGTCTACAAAACTTTGAGTCTAGCCATGACCGGTTCCAGCTGACGGGCCGTGCTGCTGACGTCACCGTGTCGGGCTAACGATGCGTTAACGCAGCGGTTCTCAAACCAGAAACAAACTATTTTTGACAGTGGCCAGAGATGACTACTTACATTTTAACTTTCAAGTATCTACATACCTTCTTTATTAATTTTCACAATTTTTAGCCGACTTTTCCTGATTATTGCCGCGGCAGCCCTGGCATACGCGCACGGCACCCCGGGATGCCTCAGCATCTCGTTTGAGAAACCACTGCGTTAACACATCGTTAGCCCCAACCCGGTGACGTCAGCAGCACGGCCCGTCAGCTGGAGCCGGTCGTGGTCTGTAGCCTCCAATACCCAAGGCGCGACTGGCGTGTAAAGGAAAAAAATAATAGGAAATCAAATAAGACAGCCAAGGAACCTTTCTTCTTATAGCCGGCGGGCGGCTGAAAAAAGGATCAAATTTGGAATTTTTTGTTGGACAACTGGAATTGGGAATTGTAAAGGAAACTTACTTTCATATTATCTCATATTCACCAGGGTCGTATTCGCTGGCATTTCCGGTCAACTCCAGCCTGGTCAAGCGAGTGGACATCGCGCTGTTGATTCTGCGAGAGAAGGGCGTGCTCAAGGAACTGGAAGATCGCTGGTTTACAGGCGAGTGTTCTGGCTTTTTGGTGGAAAACAACCGAAACAAGCTACAGCTGCCGCACTACCATGGGGTAATTTATTTTACATTCTACATTCGCACTTTAAAAGACAGTTAGCCAGCTGTGTTTACGGCTTGCCTGTGTTGTCTACTCTTATTGGCCCAGCACAGCCGATTTTAGCGAACCTCTAATTAGTTATCTTTTACGGTTAGAAAGGAAATTAACTTCCCGTCCTCAAGTGTACACTGGAATCCAGAAAAGGATCATGGGGATAATAATATATCGGGTAGATTGCTTGTGATCTTCCGGTTTCAGCTCGAAATATCAGAAATGGTAGTGGGATTTTCCCTTTTAAGCTCAAAATATCCAAAACAATGGTGGGATTTTTATTTTAGCTGAAAATATCAGAAATGATAGTGGCATTTTCCGTTTTCAGTTCAAAATATCAGAAATAGTGGTGGGATTTTCCGTTTCCAGCTCAAAATATCATAAATAGTAGTCGGATTTTCCATTTTCTGCTTAAAATATCAGAAATAGTAATGGCATTTCCTGTTTTCAGCTCACAATATCAGAAATCTTAATATTTCATGTTTTAAGCTCAAAATATAAGAAATAGTAGTGGGAGTTTCCATTATCATCTAAAAAAAAAAAAAAAAAGAAAATCAGAAGTAGTAGCGGGATTTTCCATTTTCAGTTTAAAATATCAGATATAGTAGTGGGATTTTACATTTTCGGCTCAAAATATGAGAAAGAGTAGTGGGATTTTCCGTTTTCATCTCAAAATATCAGAAATAGTAGTGGGATTTTCCGTTTTCATCTCAAGATATGAGAAAGAGTAGTGGGATTTACCGTTTTCAGTTCAAAACATCAGATATAGTAGTGGGATTTTCTGTTTTCGGCTAAAGATAAGAGAAAGAGTAGTGGGATTTACCGTTTTCGGCTTAAGATGTTATGGTCACCCTCTTCCTCCTGCAGCTTTAATCTACTGCCGGAAGTCATAGGTCACCCACTTGAGGGGTTTTCCCCCTACCACTTTTCGTTTGGGTCACTATCCTTAACATACACAAGTTTATGGATCACATAAATTGTCATGGGAAATAAATGCGACCGTCACGGTGTTGACTACACCACTGACCGACTATAGACAAATGATTCTCGAACTATGTATCTTATGCTGGTTGAGTCTCAAATGTTATACCATGCTGGTCGCCTTAATTTCCCATGGCAATTTCTGTAATCCATAAGCTTTTGTACGTTGAGGACAGTGAAAGGCGTTTATTTTAATCTCTTCAAATAAATGATGATAAATCTAGGAGGAGATAACCCTGACTCTGTGACCTATAAACCAGCTTTATCCAATCAGATCCTCCCAGGTTCCCTAACTATTAAGTAATTCATGGATAAGGTCAAGGACCCTTGTCCACCTTTGCAGGCGTATTTGGCATATAGGGCTAGACCTTAAATTTTATAGACCAATCAGCACTCAGTGGACGATCTGGTCGACATCACACCGGCCACCTTTGCTTCCCAGGACTTTACCCGGTAACTTTTTAAATCTGGGTCGACCTACGAGCCAAAGTCATTTAAAGAAAGAATTCATTCTCTGTTTGGATTTGATTCTACGACCTTCGGTCGCCAAATCACGACGGCTCCCTGGGTTTTTAAAGGAAATATTGAAAGAAGTCAAGGCACCCTAGGTGAAAAAAGTCCATTAATGTTTGTGCCTTGGCCTACAGGTTGACCTAGGATCCTTCTCTGGGGCGCTGATTATCTTGGGCATTGGCCTCGTTTTGGGCAGCCTGGTCACGTGTGTGGAAGTCTTTGTTTTTAAATTTGCGGAAACGGTAAGTGCTGCCCTCTGTGGGTTGATTTGTTGTGTCGATATTGTTGTTCGACAGTCTGTTGTATAAATAATAAAAAGACAATGTTTTGATTGACACCCATAGAAAAAAGACTAGCACAAAAGAAAATCGTTTGCATTTACAACCCATATCTATTATTACTATGTGTGTGTTTATTTTCTCATCATCATCATCATGTAGCAGGTCCTTTGCAGAACGTCGCTCTCATCCCAGTCTGCCTGAAAGAAACTCGGTCTCCCGCCAGTTCCCCCGCCTCATGCACTTTCACACTCAAGGAGTCACTTATATCCTGTGCCCATCTTCGTGTCGGTCGGCCCCTGCTCCTCCTTCCTGGTACCATGCCTTCTGCTATAATTTTTTCCAATCCGATGTGGCGCTTGCTATGAACAAAATATTCCAGCTTTCGAGAAAGGATGCTGTTTATTAGCCAATCTTCCTTGATGTTCAGATCTTTCAAGATGTCAGTATTTCTCCTCTTCTTTGTCCAAGATATTCTGAGAATCTTTCTATAGCATTTCAGCTCAAAAGCTCCTATTCTCTTTCTTAAGGACTGGGAGATAGTCCACGACTCACATCCGTATGTAGCCACAGGGAAGATACATGCTCTCAAAATTCTAATTTGTATCTCCTTTTTTATTTTCTAGTACACGAAATTTCACATCGTCTACTTAAGGTAATTGTTGATTCAGCGTCTTCATTTCACAGGGGTCTGTGTGGTCTAGAGGCATGGTGTCCGCCTTGTGCTAGAGGTTCCGGGCTCAATCCCCGGTAAGGGCTTGGATTTGTTCACATGAACTTCTAGTAATTCCCCGGGTCTCTGGGTAGTGAGATCGGACGCCCGCGTGTATTGTTGCACACGTAAAAAATCTCTTGGCAGTTGGAAATCGAAAAGTGTAGCCTAACGGCGCTGCCTGGGAAAAGTTTGGAGTTGAAAATCTAACCAAGTATTTTAGGATCCTCGCCGGTGCTACAGAACCTGTGCACTGTGCTGAGCTTCTTCAGACTCAACCTTGAGTTAAAAGAAGAACGGAGCGCTTACGGCACCCGGGTGCCATGATGTTGCTCCGTCTTCATTTCACAGAATTCGTAAATAGACCGGCTCATTGAAGCCGCCAGTATACCTTTTAGTTAATCACTTGCGGCATCTAAGAGGATCGTCTTCTGGGATCAGGATAGGATGCTGGTTAGCAAATGTTGCAGATGGTTTCACTGCCATGAATTGGGCATTCTTTACTCGCAACATTAGATGTTCAATCAATCAACCAGCTTGTCCTTCACAGAATGACGTTTTCTTCAGGGCACGTCTGAAAGCCTCCCTTTGTCTAGCCAGTTCTCTAGCCCTATGTGCTTTTATAGCCGATGCGTCTTCAATGTCTTGTATCCACGTTCACAGAGGTCGGCTTTATTTTCCTAAAACCGCACCCTCCATCATCGTTCTTTCCAGACATGTCCAAATTACCCCAGCTTTCGGGAGAGGATGCTTTTTATGAGCCAGTTCTCCTTGATGTTCAGGTCATGCAGAATGTGCACGTTTTTCTTCTTCTTTGTCCGCGGTATTCTAAGAATTATTTCATTAGATGTTGTTATAGCTGGAATAGTTCTGATTTATCTTTACTAACAAGCGTTAGCAAAGCTTCTTTTTCTTGTTTGCCATGCCTATGTTGCCCCCCTCTGATGTTCATTCTTTCAGCGTTACCGAACTGGTGGTCGATTTGCTGACTAATGAAGATATGACCTTACTGAATCATCATGGTTGTCTAGATCAGTCGTTCTCAACCTTCCTAACACCGCGACCCTTTAATATTCTTCTTCTTCTTCTTCGCTTCCTCTTTTACCGCTGTGGGTGTCGAGGGAGACATAAGGTTCTGTTTCTAGCTCTTCTGGCTGCCTCGACCATAGGCACATCGTACTGTTGTAGAGTTTCTCTGATGTTATCCTTCCATATTGTTCTTGGTCTACCTCGTGCTCTACGTCCTTCTTCTCTTTCCATGTATGCTTTGTATGGTATGGTGTCACAAGGCATTCTCTCTAAGTGGGCAAACCATTTCACTTGCTGTCTTCGTATGTAATTTAGAATTAGTTCTCTTACGATCTCATTCCTGATCTTGTCTCTTATGGTCACTCCCACAGCCCTTTTCAGACATCTAATTTGACCCTTTAATATAGTACCCTCAAATTGTAGCGGTCGGCTCTGTGACTAAGTTATGAACGCTTCGTAATGCCGGGATGCCGGTTTCGATCCCAGCTGCTGGCCATGCACCTTGCTTTGGTTTCGATAGTGGTATCAAGAAAGCCGACCGTCCAGAAGCAATGGCAAACTACTGGACGACAAATTGCCCAGAAAAACCACACAACAACCAGGGGCTGTTGGGGTTGGTTCTACAGCGTCCTGTAAAGGATACGTAACTAACCTTCATATTGAAGCGACTCCCAAACAGTTATTTTCTCTTCATAACTTCAATGAATGCTTGTTTTCCGATGGTTTAGGTGACCCCTTTAAAAGGGTCGTTCGACCCCAAAAATTGTCGCAACTGGCAGGTTGAGAACCGCTATCTAGACAATTTAAAAAAGAAATCAAGAAGTACCCCTAGCTTTTTAACTTCAGCTTCTCGATTAAAGTTAGCGTCCGTGGCTTGGACATTGCGAACGAGCTTCCAAATGCCCGTGTGCCGGGTCCGATCCCAGCTGCGGATCATACCTCGAGCTGATCATTCATGAAGCAATCGGAAACTAATGATCGGAAAATATGCCTAAAAAAGAACCAAAATAGCCACACAACAACAAAATGCTGGAATTGGTTCTGCAACGTCCTGTGAAGGACACGCAACTAACTCTTTTTTTTTAAAGAGATTAGATTGATAACCAGGACTACTCTATGACAACGAGTATGATGATGATGATGATAACCCATATAACTCTAAGAAGTGTCAAATTTACAATAACTCGGTGTACTCAAGAAATGCCAAATTTATTATAACATATGTTTACTCAAAAAAGGTCAGATTTACTATAACCTATGTGTATTCAAGAAGTGTCAAATTTACTATAACTCTAAGCGTAAGTGTACTCAAGAAGTGCTAAATTTATTATAACTCTGTGAACTCAAAAATTGTCAAATTTGCTATAACCTATGAATCAGTCTGAATCAGTAGAGAAAGAAAATTATTATGGCCTGGTGAGAATGAGGCACCTGGGTGTAACCAGAGGGTCCGGCCGGCTGACTACAATCAGAGAAAAGGCAATGCGGACTTTTAACCAGATTGTGACCGGTACCAAGGAGTGTCAAATTTACTATAACTCCACGTGTACTCCAGAAATGTCAAATTTACTATTTTCCAGGAAGTCAAAGAAAAACCAACAACTGCTCAACCACAGGTCAATTCTGAGCCTGCAAAGAAGCCTGTACTGGTGTCAAGTTTGGAACCTGAACCAATCACAGACGTCTGACAGATCTCAACCTAGTTTGCTTTGGGTTGTTATATCTCTCAACCTAGTTTGCTTTGGGTTGTTATATCTCTCAACCTAGTTTGTTTTGGGATGTTCTATCTCCCAACCTAGTTTGCTCTGGGATGTTATATCTCTCAATCTAGTTTGCTCTGGGATGTTCTATCTCTCAACCTAGTTTGTTCTGGGATGTTCTATCTCTCAACCTAGTTTGCTCTGGGGATGTTCTGGGATGTTCTATCTCTCAACCTAGTTTTTGATGTTCTGGGATGTTTCTGGGATCTCTTTAACCTAGTTTGTTCTGGGATGTTCTATCTCTCAACCTAGTTTTCTCTGGGATGTTCTATCTCTCAACCTAGTTTTCTCTGGGATGTTCTATCTCTCAACCTAGTTTGCTCTGGGATGTTCTATCTCTCAACCTAGTTTTCTCTGGGATGTTCTATCTCTCAACCTAGTTCTTCTCTCTGGGATGTTCTATCTCTCAACCTAGTTTGCTCTGGGTTTGTTCTATCTCTCAACCTAGTTTGCTCTGGGATGTTCCAACCTAGTTTGTTCTGGGTCCCTTCTTCCTTCTATCTCTCAACTAGTTTTCTCTGGGATGTTCTATCTCTCAACCTAGTTTGCTCTGGGATGTTCTATCTCTCAACCTAGTTTGCTCTGGGATGTTCTATCTCTCAACCTAGTTTGTTCTGGGATGTTCTATCTCTCAACCTAGTTTGCTCTGGGATGTTCTATCTCTCAACCTAGTTTTCTCTGGGATGTTCTATCTCTCAACCTAGTTTGCTCTGGGTTGTTCTATCTCTCAACCTAGTTTGCTCTGGGTTGTTATATCTCTCAACCTAGTTTGCTCTGGGATGTTCTATCTCTCAACCTAGTTTGCTCTGGGATGTTCTATCTCTCAACCTAGTTTGCTCTGGGATGTTCTATCTCTCAACCTAGTTTGCTCTGGGATGTTCTATCTCTCAACCTAGTTTGCTCTGGGATGTTCTATCTCTCAACCTAGTTTGCTCTGGGAGGTTCTGTCTCTCAACCTAGTTTGCTCTGGGTTGTTCTATCTCTGTACTAATAGCATGGTGTTGACGTGTCTTCATTGATGTTATCCTATATCCCAATGCACATTACCCGGATTAATCACAACTATGTGTTTTTAGTTGTGAATCCTCGTCGTGTGGGTTCCGGGGCCCTGTTATAGGGAAAACAAGAATAGACCCACTGCCTACCCAAAAGCATGTCGTAAGAGTCGACTTTTTGACAGCTTCCTTTGAAGTCTGAGTGCATATGCCTGAGAGGCTAGGAACCAACAGTCTGCACTCAAATATGTCAGATCTGTCAAACGGATGCACACGCAACTCTCAGATTCTGGAAAATGACTGCAGTCCAGAAGTGGACGAACAACCAGAACTTTCCACCAGCGTTTACAGCTGGTGAACGCAAAGAAGAACAAGTTGTGTATCCTTTGCCTGCAAGCGAAGTGAAAAAAAACTTTCGAGATGGTACATCTTCCATGTGGTAACCTAGGGATGTTAGTCAAGAACTTCTACTTCAATCACTAAAGAATACAATCGGAGCTTTTGAACATGAATGCTAAAGAAATAATTTATTACAGTTAAAATCAAGATAGATGTTCGATTTCATTGTCTCGGGCTTATTATCTCGACGGGCGGGTAGCCGTCTGTCAAGAGCATCGCTAAAAACACAGACTCTGCAGCTCCCTCGACGATCCCAAGGAATCTCCGTAAAAACCTGCACTCGTAAACCAAACGCTGTGTTGGGGAAAAGAACTCACAATCTTTAGAGTTCAAGCCAATCACCAACACTTTCCTTTGAAAATGATTTGGGAAAAGAAAGGGGGGGGGTGGTATTGCGAAATCATGGATACGGATTGACAATATCCATTGATACCCACCAAACACTGGATCGCAAACTGTTCCTCCCCCGACCCTTAACGCCATTTGTGGAAATCGATGGCGATGGTAATATGTATTGATTTATTCTCTATGTAATTTTCTTAGTTTAATGTTAGTTTTATTTTTGTAGAATTCTAGTTATCGTGATATTTGAACTCACAGAGCATGCTGAGAAAGGTGAAGACAGGCATGCTTCGTGCAGAGTGGCAAGCTTCACTTCAGAGGTCCTGGGTAGTTAGCACCCTCTGGATATTTCCTACAGGTCATGCTGATGTGCTGGGAAATAAGCAGGCAGATAGACTGGCCGGCTCTGCATCACTTGATAGTGAACTGATATATGACAAGCTAGATATTGTGAGGGCCATTTGGGAGCAAGTGAACAGTGCGAAGGCACAGATACATCATTACGGTCTGAGGAGAATGTCGCTGCGAGCAATTACTAGAGGATCTGGCCGACGCTCAACAATCAGGGAAAGGGTGATTTTCATATACAATCAGACATTTACTGGTGCCATCGGAGTTAGAACTCTTTGCTTGCTGCTGAAGATGGGGACGGAGCACTTATGGGAGTGTCCTGAGTGCTGCGATGTCGATTCCTAATTCAACCTTTGTGGCATTTGAGACATTGCTGGTACCATGTAATCGATTGTGTATTAACACTATTACTTGTGTGCGTTGTTAGTATCCTTTGGTTTGTAGCTATTCTCATTAGTGAAGTGGAAGACAGCTTAGCTATGCCACTAAACGTTTGGTGTGTGTTGTCTTATTGATTTAATTTAGCCCACCCACTTCTTCTTCTTCGTTTGACCCTAAAACGGCAGTTAGCAGATTATGTTGTGGTTTATAGCTAGGCTGTGATATCCTCGCCTTTCAAACCAACACATGCTATTTCCGGGGTACTGGGGGGGGGGGGGTATGATCTATTCTCCCTAAGTGGGGCCTCAGAACCTACACGGGAAATTTAGCAGATCAAAACACTAACAAAAATAGACGAGACAGGGTTTCGAATACCATTAGAGAAAAAGGTGGATTAAGACAGTGTCTGGATTATATTAACAGGCAAAGAATAAAATGGTTCAGCTATCTGAGAATGCAGCCAGGCCAGACTGTTTGTGAGACTTTTTACTGTAGAACATATGGGAGGAAGGCGAGAGGAAGACCAAGAAAGAGATGGATAAGTGTTGAAACCTGCAGAAAGATGAACAAATCAATCACTCAAGTCACCCGCGAAGTGCAAGACAAATACAGAAAACCACGACACTGGGCTACATCCTAATATAATATCAGTGAGATGACAAAACCACGACACTGAGCTACAACCTGGTATCAGTGAGACGACAAAACCACGACACTAGGCTACAACCTGGTATCAGTGAGACGACAAAACCACGACACTGGGCTACAACCTGGTATCAGTGAGACGACAAAACCACGACACTGGGCTACAACCAGGTATCAGTGAGACAACAAAACCACGATATTGGGCTACAACCTGATATCAGGGAGACGACAAAACCACGACACTGGGCTACAACCTGATATCAGGGAGACGACAAAACCACGACACTGGGCTACAACCTGATATCAGTGAGATAACAAAACCACGACACTGGGCTACAACCTGGTATCAGTGAAACGTCAAAACCACGACACTGGGCTACAACCTGATATCAGTGAGATGACAAAACCACGGCACTGGGCTACAGCCGGGTATCAGTGAGATGACAAAACCACGAAACTGGGCTACAGCCTGGTATCAGTGAGACAACAAAACCACGACACTGAGCTACAACCTGGTATCAGTGAGATGACAAAACTACGACACTGGGCAACAACCTGGTATCAGTGAGACGACGAAACCACGACACTGAGCTACAACCTGGTATCAGTGAGGCGACAAAACCACGACACTGGGCAACAACCTGGTATCAGTGAGACGACGAAACCACGACACTGGGCTACAGCCGGGTATCAGTGAGACGACAAAACCACGACACTGGGTTACAACCGGGTATCAGTGAGACGTCAAAACCACGACACTGGTCTACAACCTGGTAACAGTGGGACGACAAAACCACGACACTGGGCAACAACCTGGTATCAGTGGGACGACAAAACCACGACACTGGGCTACAGCCGGGTATCAGTGAGATGACAAAACCACGACACTGGGCTACAGCCGGGTATCAGTGAGATGACAAAACCACGACACTGGGCTACAACCTAATGTCGGCGAGACGACAAAACCACGACACTGGGCAACAACCTGGTATCAGTGAGATGACAAAACCACGACACTGGGCAACAACCTGGTATCAGTGAGACGACAAAACCACGACACTGGGCTACAGCCTGGTATCAGTGAGACGACAAAACCACGACACTGGGCAACAACCTGGTATCAGTGAGACGACGAAACCACGATACTGGGCTACATCCTAATATTAGTGAGACGACAAAACAACGATACTGGGCTACATCCTAATATTAGTGAGACGACAAAACCACGACACTGGGCTACATCCTAATATTAGTGAGACGACAAAACCACGACACTGGGCTACAACCTGGTATCAGTGAGACGATAAAACCACGACATTGGGCTACAACCTGATATCAGAGAGACGACAAAACCACGATACTGGGCTACAACCTGATATCAGTGAGATAACAAAACCACGACACTGGGCTACAACCTGGTATCAGTGAAACGTCAAAACAACGACACTGGGCTGCAACCTGGTATCAGTGAGATGACAAAACCACGGCACTGGGCTACAGCCGGGTATCAGTGAGATGACAAAACCACGAAACTGGGCTACAGCCTGGTATCAGTGAGACAACAAAACCACGACACTGAGCTACAACCTGGTATCAGTGAGATGACAAAACCACGACACTGGGCAACAACCTGGTATCAGTGAGACGACAAAACCACGACACTGAGCTACAACCTGGTATCAGTGAGGCGACAAAACCACGACACTGGGCTACAACCTGGTATCAGTGAGACGACGAAACCACGACACTGGGCTACAGCCGGGTATCAGTGAGACGACAAAACCACGACACTGGGTTACAACCGGGTATCAGTGA